CCATTTCTCCTTGATGTGTAGGGCTGTCTGGATCCAGGGTGACATTCCCATGAGTGGATGAAGCCATTTCTCCTTGATGTGTAGGGCTGTCTGGAGTTGGGGTGACATTCCCATGAGTGGATGAGGCCATTTCTCCTTGATGGGTAGGGCTGTCTGGATCCAGGGTGACATTTCTATTAGTGGATGAGTCCATTTCTCCGTGGTGTGTAGGGCTGTCTGGAGTTGGGGTGACATTCCCATGAGTGGATGAAGCCACTTCTCCTTGATGTGTAGGGCTGTCTGGAGTTGGGGTGACATTCCCGTGAGTGGATGAGGCCATTTCTCCTTGATGAGTAGGGCTGTCTGGATCCAGGGTGACATTTCCATGAGTGGATGAGTCCATTTCTCCTTGGTGTGTAGGGCTGTCTGGATCCAAGGTGACATTTCCATGAGTGGATGAAGCCATTTCTCCTTGATGTGTAGGGCTGTCTGGATCCAGGGTGACATTCCCATGAGTGGGTGAGACCATTTCCCCATGATGTGTAGGTCTGGCTGGAGTTGGGGTGATGGTCTTATGAATGGCTGAGGTTGATACAGTTTTAATTCTGTTTTTTGTTACAGTTGGTGTCTTTCTTGTGGGCATACGACAAGTTGTCTTTCCCCTGGGTTTTGTTGTTGAATGATTTGCATCAGAGGATTCTTTATGCGTATTGGAAGTGTCAGTGGAGCGTTCATTTCGAATAAATGGGTCTTTTCTTTGACTGGTGGAGTTTTGGTCAGAAGTGGAAGGAACTTCAAGATGAATAGTAGTATTTTGGGGGCTATCTGTAGGTTTGTGAATTGTCTTGGAATGACGTGTGGAGTTGCAATGGCGTTTTGGCTTTTGAGTTTCTGTAGATTTAGGGAGGCCTGGAGGACTGTGTCCCGAACGAAGAGCAACATGGTCAGAGGCAGAACTGTGACTGAGGCTTGGCATGGGAGTGGGGACTAAATGAGCAGATGTTGAGGATTCACCAGGTTTCTGAAGTTCCTGAATTGTGGCAGCTCCTGTGCAGGGAGAAAGGAAAATAAGACGCTTCCTCCTGTCCCCCTCCTTCCCTGCCCATCTTCATCACAAGGGAACCCTTTTTGACTGCATGTACATCCCCCATGTACATCAGCCTCCTCAGAAAACTCTGATGTCAAATCCCCATTCTTACCCCATGGCTCAGCTTTGCTCAGACTGTGCCTTCAGTAAGCATGCACCTCAGCCCTCCCCACCTCTCAACTTCAATCTTTGTAGCTAGGGGGAACATTTCCTGATCCTCCCAAGTAAGACCTAGCTTCATTTCATGCTTAGAAGAATTATTTGTTAGTTGCTCTTTCCTATGATCTTCTACTTGACATTATACTTTTGTATAGTGTCCTCCTCTAACCCCTCCCCTACAGGCACCCTGTAAGATGTAGTGAGCAGATATTGACTGGCATTTAATGCTACAAGTTCTCCTTTGGGGGTTAAATACTTATGGAATGGAGTTCCCGCCCATGGCAGCACTGAGATGAAAGGGAGACAGTCAGAATCTCCATCTTTCTCTAACACGCCAGATCCATGTCAAAAGTAACATGAGAGAATGAGGTAGGACCTCTGGCAGAGCTTCCCATGGGCGTCAGTAAGGAGACTCAGGTGAGAGTGGGAGAAGGATCAGAAGAGGAGGGGAGGAAGGGAAGCTTGGTCTGGATGCAGGATGTAGATGAGATGACTCGACCTTTATTGTTCCCCTACTCAGCCCCCTGCTTCATGTCACTCAAACTGGGATAGATGTTTGTGGCCCTCTTGGGAAAAAAAAAAAAAGGCATCTTTGGGGGGGTCCTGAGTTCAAGAGGCAGCTAGATTCTGGGAGGGCATGACCATGTTTAAGGACAGGGTGTGAGGGAAAACACCCCTATCGGGAGCAGATATGGGACGGAAACGAGCAATGGGGACAGAAGAGATGGCTCTGATATCTTCCAGGAGAGTGAAAGTCTGAGGTCGACACAGAGTGAGAGAGATAGGGTAGTTACATAGCTCAGCTCTCCAGCCTCTGTTAGCTCAGGGTGGCAACCAGAAACTGGACTCAATCCCATTGCAGGAAATCACGACCCACCCACCTCCACGCTGACCAGGATAGCTGGGGACTGGGGAGCTCAGTCCCAGTGAGCAGTGTGGGTAGGATGAGGAGGCAGTGCAGGCAAGAGAGAAGCCCACGTTCCTGAGGGAGTCGAGGTTGGGAATAGCACGCAGCCCGAACTGCCAGACCCTGGCGTGGCAGCCCCAGTTCTGTTCTCCATCCTCGGCAGCGACACCAGCACCTGTTACCCTAAGCCCAAACCTTCTCCAGACCAGGCTCACTGGTTGCATCATGCACGTTATCTTTCTGGATTCTCTTCCATACTGGTCCCACAAGCAACCTGTGGGACCTCCCTATTTTGCAGCCCATAATCTCGAGTGTCACAGAGGAAGAGTTACTTGCACACAGACCCACTGCCTAACAGCCAAACTTTCTCGAGGTTGAGAACTACCTATTTTTCTCCTTTTTTATAGATAATGAAACAAGAGTCAGAGGGGTTAAGTCATTTCCCCAAGGGTGCTCAGCAAGTATTGAACATGCATTCTGGATGCCCAGCCTAGGCTTTTAGGGGTTAAGATCACATGGATGAGCCCAGTGTCTTGGAGATGGATGAACATGGACACCCCCTCACTATGGATCCCTGAGAAAGTGTTCATTCATTTGTGTGCTTAACCTTCATCACCTGTGAGGCAAGTATACGATCTTACTATCTTACAGGTGAAGAAAGGAGCAAAGAAGTTAAGTCATTGCAAAATCAGACTTCACTATATCCCAGATGTTTTTAAACATAAGAGATGAAAAAGCATCTACTGAGTGAGTGATTGAGCAACAGAGCAAAGTGGCAAATTCCACCGGCCTGACAGAACCCAGGCTTTGGCCTGAGCCAGCTGTGTTCTTGCTCAAGGCAAGGAGCTGGAAGTCCTCCGCTGTCAATAATGAAACTACAAATAATGCGCCCTGCTGCGCGTGAGGATTAAAGGAATTATGGAGCATAAAGGGCTCTAAGACATAGGAGATTCTTGGAAGATTTTGTGGAATCGGAATTGTAGTCTTGGAAATAATCCCACTGTGCCCTGTTCTTCTAGATGTTAGGGGAACCTGAGCCCTCTGCCCTGCCCAAACCTGCTGTAGGGGTTGGGATGTCCCCAACCTCACCAGGCCATGCACCTCAGTGCCTACCTGTCCTGCCTTGCCTCCTCAAAGGAAAGCCCTTCCTCCCCCGGCACCCCAGGCCACCTTTATCTGCTATGTTTTATCAACCTAGCACCCATCACTTTTCAATATACAATAAAATACAGTTTAATTCCATGATGGCAGTGATTTGTATTTGTTTTATTTATTGCTACATCTTCAGCCTACAATGACTGGCCTGTAAGAAACACATCATAAATTTTTACTGGGTGGGTGAATGAAGGGCTATTTTAAGACTGATAAAAACTCTTAGGAAGGCTTGCCAACAGCCTTCTAGCATGCTTGTTAAGTGAAAGCAAACAGACAGTGCGGTCCCCAGTGTGGAAGGTCACAAAGAAACTTCTGTTATATCACATGTAGTTGAACCCCTGAAACAAAAAGATAGTGAAAGAAGGCCTCTTGCCCATCAGTTCTGCAATATGCATCGTTGGATTACAGGACACTGCACAGTCAATTACACTCTACATCTTAGAATTCCTGATCCAGAGGCCCTCCCTGGTGGCACAGTGGGTTAAAGCACAGCATTATGACCGCAGCCACCGCAGCACGAATTCAATCCCCAGCCAGGGAGATGACCCACACAGTGTGGCAGTCTTCTCTGAACCGCCCACCGCTCCCCTCAGCAATGTGTTTCAGTCAATCTGCCTATTCTGCTCCCCACTCTGTCTCTGGTGATTCCTCTCACCTCCCGCACCTCTGGCCTATACCCCAGTTCTAAAAAAAAAAATTCCTGATCCACTCTACATAGTTGTGAAACAATCAGTTCTAAGATCTAGAGTTGAAGTCATGGATCCCGAGTGCAGCACAGGCATGTCCGTTGACTGACGCCCCAAGACAGGTGACCGTCCCCTCTTCTCAGTAGGTCTACCATTGGTGGCAAACTTAATTCCCTAGCAAGTTTTCACCATGAGATATTCATTTCACTGACTAAAACTGGCCTGCAAAGAATTGTTTTGTTCGAAGATGCCTCGGCAGAGAGGAAAATCTGGCCTTAGCACAAGACATGGGAGGTTGATGCTCAGCTCAGATAAGAGAGTGAAAACACTCCCACGATATCGAAGCTATGTACAGTTCCAAAGGTCTCTTTAATCTACTTTATTTACTTGTTTGAAAAGAAGGTGGACCTCCTGCTACGTGACCGTGCCGTGGCCGTGGCGGGGGGGGGGTCTGTCAGTGCACCTGTGCCCAGAGGAGCCTCCTGATGTTTCTTGGTGTCTTGGCCCTCCAAATGGCTTTTGAGGGTTTTGAAGTAAGTGGACAAGTGCTCTTTCAAATGTCTCATAAACTCAACATGTGACCTAAAATACCATCAAGACTAAAAAGAAGTTCACTCACATGGTGGCCTGCGTAGCTAGGGAGTGTTAGGAGAGTTTCTTTGTTTTCTCATTTCTTCTGTCTTGCCATCTCTATAATGAGCATATACTACTTTGTCATAGAAACTGCTAAATCAAATAACAGTTACAAACAACAGTAGGAAACTAACTCTTTACGTGCTCCCCAGGGACCAGGCCCTGTCTGCGTCCCTCATAGGTGGCTAAATCAGGTGCAGCTCCCGTGGCTGATGGATGCGCTCTTGGAGGGTCTAGGGTCTAATTTTCCAAATCTCGGCATGGACAGCTCCCATGAGAGGGCCTCCCAGATGACAAGGGGCCTAAACCCTTTCTCCCCCGCAACTTCCCACCCTGGCTTCACTCTGATGCTCACGGTTGTCCGCAGCCCGACCCCACTCCAGCCTCCAGCCCTCCCCATCTGGGACCTGTTCCCTCTTGTCTGCAGGATCCAAGTGCCCAGCTCCTCAGGCCCTCCCATTCCCCCTCCTACCCTGCCCAGCCAGGCTCTAGCATAGTCATCTCCCAGTCCCCAGCCACAGCACCCAGGGTCCTGTCCCAGGAGCCTGTATCTGTCCTGTGCCCAAGAGCCAATTCTAAGATCTCCCTCCAAAGTGACGTGTGAGGAGCTGCAGCATGACTCATCCCTTGTCCCCTACACCTTCCCCTTCCTGGGGGGCAGCAGGTAGGGAAGAGGGTGCCACAGAGGGGTATGGAGCAGCACACAGAGCAATCAGCCCAGGAGGGGGCTGAGACAGTGAGATGGGGGGTGGGCCTCTGAGGGCGTCTCTGTCTCAGACCCTTGAGGTGGGGGGCAGGAGCATCACATCAGATCAGACTGCAGGAGCCCCTGAGAACCAGCAGAGGCAAGCTGAAGGCTCCTGAGCCTTGTCCCTGCACCTGCCAGCCACTGGTGTCTCTCCCCACGTCCCCTCGGGCCCCAGCAAGAGCCTGTGCTGGGGAGGAGACAGGCTAACACCCTCACTCAGACAGCACTGGCAGGAGCTGCTGCTGCCCGCTGGCCAGCCAGCCGCTGTCCCAAGGCTTTCCGTCTGCACCAGCAGCGCCCTTGTCTCGCTGGCCCACCCCACTGCGGCTCTGGGTCTGTGCCCACATATCTTCTCCAAGGCTCCAGCCCCCCGTTTGGCATCACTGCTCCCGGGGCTATCACAGGACTGCTGCTAGCCAAGGATTAATTTGACCTTTTCACTTCATCTTGTGGGATCGGTTTTGTTCATCAAGTGTTTCCATGCCCATGTACTCACTGAAACCCTGGGACGTTCCCACATGTAAAATGGGGCAAAATGGCACCGCCTTATCTACTTACCATGAAGATTAAAGACGTCAATGTGGACGAAGTGCCTAGAAGAACGCTTGGCATGTGGTATAAGTTTGGCAAGCGTCAAATCCTTGGCCTGGCCAGGGAGCACCTTTCGGTTTTAAAGATGCCGGCAAGGGCCTCCCTGGTGGTGCAAAGGGTTAAGTTGCACCACTGTGAAGCTATGGGCAGCCACTGCAGCATGAGTTCCATCCCAGGCCAGGGAGCTGACCCACATGGCCCAGCAGACCTCTCCTGACCTGTCTGCTACCCCCCCTCAGCAGTGTGTTTCAGTCAATCTGCCTGTTCTGCTCCCCACTCTGTTTCTGGTGAATCTTCTGGCCTGTACTCCAGTTCTGTATGTATAAATAAATATATTTTTTTTTAATTTTTAAGATTTATTTATTTATTCATATAGAGCTGGGGTACAGGCCAGAGATGCGGAGGGTGAGAGGCTTCACCAGAGACAGAGTGGGGAGCAGAACAGGCAGATCTACGAAGTACACTGCTGAGGGGAGCAGCGGGCGGGTCAGGAGAGGTCTGCCATGCCATGTGGTCACCTCCGGGGCAGGCGGGGATCGAACTCATATGGAAGTGGCTTTAGATTCTCAGTGCTGTGCTTTAACCTGCTGCGCCACCAGGGAGGGCCCTAAATAAATATTTTTTTAAAAATAGAAACAAAGACTCCCACAAGTCCAGACTGATTAAAATTGGCCAGTGTCAGGACCAGAACCCAGGGCAGCAGAGAGCCGGGGAGCTCACCACCCTCCCCTAGGGCAGCAGGCCGTGTGGTGGGCCAAATCCCTGCTTCCACCCTCTTGCACCATGGCCAGGCCCCCTTGCCATTTTGAGGCTCGTTCTCTGCTCTATGAAATGAGGTATTACAGACACCTCGGGAGATCAGAGGAGCTGAAATAAGATGAACCTGTGAGTTCTTTGCACATCACAGTTACTCAGCAAATCAGCCCCAGATTGCCTGTCAATTGGTCCTTATGTCCACTAGATGATCACCCACTTGTTGGGGGCAGCCTGTGGGCTGACCTGAAGGAGAGCATCGGCGGGGTTTTGGCTCCCACATGGCCTTGGGCCAGTCAGCTTGAGCGCTGAGTTCCTAACTGTGCCGCTGCCGCAGGCCGCCCCTGTCCATTCCTGCAGCCGGTCACTCAACCCTCTAGATGCTGAGAGGCAACCCTGTCCATCTTCTGATCTCCCGCGTAGTGGAGACCCCTCCACTGCCGAGGCACCTTACCTGCCTCCCAGGGAGCCAGAAGGAAGAGGAGGCAGCACTGGAGGCCGAAGGTAGAGCAGATGCTGTGGGCTGGCTGGGCCATGACTGAGCTGGACGGTTGCTTGGAGCCATAGGCTGGGGTCCACTTACTTTATATAGTGCCAGCTTTGACGTCATGGGGCTGGGGCCCCTCGGGACTAAACCTTAAGCAAATGGAGCCACCCCACCCCACAGAGGTGCCCTGATAACAGGAGACTGGGCGACCGAGGCCACTGTGCTGTGTCACATGCCAAGCCCTGAGGGCCTGCCCACAGGGAGGCATGGGGGCAGGGAAGAGCACCAGAGGGGACAGGCGCCTGACCCAGCCCAGCCAGGGAGAGAGGGCTGGAAGGGCGGCCTGGCCTCTGGGGTTCTGGGGACTTGGGGAGCAGATGGCTGGGCTCTGGAAGCGCTGTGCTTTGGGCTGAGAGCAGGAGGGAATGACTGGAAGCCCAGGCCCAGGGTAGAGATTCAAATTCCGGTTCTTCTCCAATTTCACACCCACCTCCACCTCTCCTGTCCACCCCGCTCTCCACGCCTCTTGCTCACACACGCCACTCCTTTGCCCGGGTGGAGCTGCCCAAGAGTACCAGGTGAAAGAGCAGCAGGAGGAAGCCTGGCGTGCCCACGGCGCAGGGACAGCTGCCTCCAGGTGTGCAGAGATGACACAAGATGGAAACAGTGACAGAGAAAAGACACAAGACAGCTACAGAGCCGCAGGAGATGCCAGCCATGCCTGCTGGGAGGCAGCAGGTCCAGGCCGGCCGCAGTGGGGTGAGGCTGAGATCTGCTGTCGAGGTGCAGGAGCTGCACAGGGCTCTGCCCCGGTCGCCCCCCAGCTCGCCCAGGGACGTCTCTCCTTCTGAGCCCCCCGCTTACAGAGAAGCACAGACAGCTCGTGTCTAGCTTCTCCCAAAGACTCCTTGCCTGAGTCATCAGGCCCAGGGGTCACCACTACACAGGTGATCAGAACACAGGCAGGGCTGCTTCTCAGCATCTAGAGGGTTGAGTGACCGGCTGCAGGAATGGACAGCAGAGGACTACGCGGTGGGCAAGGACGGCCTGGGGCAGCGGCACAGTTAGGGGACTCAGCGCTCAAGCTGACTGGCCCAAGGCCATGTGGGAGCCGAACCCCGCCGATGCTCTCCTTCAGGTCAGCCCACAGGCTGCCCCCAACAAGCGGATGGTCGTCAGGTGGACAAAGGACCCGAGGACTGAGGCAAGCTTTAGCTCAGAGACTGTCAACATTCTCACCCTGGGCTCCTGAGTGATGGTGCCTGGGGCTGGAGTAGGGGGGCGGTTCAGACTCTTTGGGGGTCCCAAGGAGAAAGAAAGCTATGGGCCCTGGCTTCTCAGTCACCACCACTATCGCTCACTTGATTTGTTCGCTGTGGTCATGGCGAGAGGGCCCTGCAGAGAGGCCTTGATTGCTGCTGCATCTCCAATGGCTGGGGCAGACCATCAGTAGGTGTTTACCCAACTAGATGGAGTCAAGGCCAGGCTGGCCCCTGCCACTCCAGGGAAGCCAAGCAGGCAGGAGTGGAGAAGGCCAGGGCATTGGGGCCAGAGGGCAGCGTCTCGGGGTTCACAGCTCATGGGAGGACTAGGCGGTCAGACACGTGGATTTTTCTCATCACTTGGCGTGACTTGTCCCTAAGACCTAGGCAGGGCCGGAATGGGTGGGAAGAGGAAAGAAGCAAACTAGCTCATTAGGCGATTAATAGAAGATTAATGAGGCTTCGTGGAGTCAGGCCAAAGACTGATGCCTCAGAGCAGGGCAGCCTGCCTCCCAGGCCATGGATCCCGCGGGATGGGGAAGTGGAGGCAGCTCCGTCTAGATTTGGGAGTGACTGACAGGCCGTCTGTCCACTGGTCCCGCCCTGGTCTACTGCACCACCCCAGGGTCCCAGGCCTTTCGGAGCATGGCTTTCAACAGGGAGGGCCGCCAGGGGACATATGGTGCTGTGTGGAGAGTCTGTCACAAGTAAGGGGGGCCCTCCCTGGTACACAACAGGTTAAAGCGCAGCACTGCAAAGCTATCGCAGCCACTGCAGCACGAGTTCAATCCCCAACCAGGGAGTTGACCCACATGGCCCAGCAGACCTCTCCTGTCTCACCGGCTGCTCCCCTCAGCAGCGTACTTCATCGATATCTGCCTGTTCTGCTCCCCACTCTGTCTCTGGTGAAGCCTCTCACTGTCCCTGCACCTCTGGCCTGCACCCCAGTTCTGTATTATAAATACATAAACCTTAAAAAAAAATCAAGTAAGGGGGGGTGCCACCAGCATCTAGAAGGAAGAGGCCAGGGTGCGGCCCACAAGGAGGCTTGTCCAGCCCATAGTGGTGCTGAGGTTGAGCTCTGCTTCAGGTGTGACAAGTACACGCCCTGCTTCTCTGTTAGACACAACTTCCCCCAGACATCCCAGTAAAGGAAACTGTAGAAGCGCAAGCTGATCTCTCAGCGTAAAGACACAGTGTAGTGTCAGAAGCGAGGGGCTGGTCACAAATCACCCTGCTAGCTGCTGATGGCTGAGCACTTCCGTGACCAAGGGGCTATCATGCCCCATGTCACACCTATGAGGCAGCATGACAGCCCCATTGTGCACATGAGAGTAAGCCACCTTGGACCAGGGAAGTGACTTGCCCAAGGTCATGCACCTGCGGCAGTGGAGACCGGACTTGGCAGGGGCCTGCCCAACCCGATCGCAAAGCCCAAGACTCGCAGACTCGCAGTGGCCAGGAAACAAGCCAAGGGACTTTATTAGCAAGCTCTGTGACCATCACCCACCAGAGGAAACTAAGACAGGATCACAGAGCTGGGACCCTCACCTGTTCTCTGAAGGCGAGAGAATCGGGGACCTGGGAGGGACAGGAGCCCCAAGGAGGTTTCGTATGGAAGGGGAGGTGATGGAGAGGGCAGAGATCTGGGGGGGTCAAACAAAGTGTTCTCAGCTGAGCATCTCTGGTCATTCGGTAAGAGGGAAGAACAGGAAGGCAGGACAAGGGGCGAGGTTTCCACTGCCCAGTCCTGGGCTCCTGAAGGCTGGAGATCCGGGAGACCAGCAGCCCTGCTCCACCTGTCAGCAGGTGAGAAACTGGCATCTGGGGGAGGGGCCAGGCGGCAGGCTGGCAGCAGTGGGGGACTGGAATCTCAGCCTCCAGCTAGGTGAGTGACAGTGAACTTCCCTTCACTGTTGCTGAGGAGACCTAAGCAGCCAGTGGCCCCAAGAATCCGCCTGTAGGGACAGTCCCAGTTAGTGAGAATGGAGAGATGAGTCTGTGCAGGAGTCTGCCTAGGGGAAGAGGAAGGAAGGCCCAGGGGACAGGACGCCTAGGGCCCTGCTCTTCACTTGACAGATCAGCGCTGGCTGGGGGCCTCCTGGTGGCGGCCACGCGGAGGCCCAGAAGCACAGCCACAGCCCACACTCATCTCCTTCCGGAACTGGCAGGCCTAGAGACAAGGAAAGGGGCAGATGAGATTCCCAGGGTCCTTGGGAACTGCGGCCCAGCCCTCCACAGTCCCCCACCTTCTCTCAACCACCCAAGTTCCTAGTGTTCCTCGTTAAGCAAAAACAATAATGAATCAGACAGATTTATGGAGCACTAACCAAGTGCCAAGCACTTCCACGCCTAAGCTCATTTCTTCCGCCAACACCCTCGAGACTATCATTGTCATATTCAGCACTCACCTCATCTGGAGATGAGGGATGATATCACCTGCATCGCAGCCTTGTTATGGACCAAAGTACGGTCAGGCACAAGACAAGTGCTACTTAAGCATTAACTATTATTATTAATGAGGAAACTGGAGCACAGAGACGTTAGGCAATGTGCACAAGGTTACACAGCTATCATGGCAGAGCCAGGATGAAACCCCAGGTCAACATGACTCCCCAGAGCTGGCTCTTCATTATCTAGAGCTGAATTTCAAGCTTCTGTGCCTTTGTCAGGCTAGTTCCCCAGCGTCACTTTCAGTGACCTTCCCCAAGCCCTACCTCTCTCAGCCTAGTGTTTCCTCTCAGCCACCCAGAGCGGACTTTTCCCGCTGCCTCCCTAAGTGCGGTGGCTACTGTCCTTCTCCGTGGCGCCCTGTTCTCAGCGTCTGGGCAGCAGGTCGCAGCCCCTGGCCTTGGGCCCCACACAGCTGAACCATACTCACCTTCTTGATGCCACACAGCAGGCTGGCGACCGCGGCTACCACAGTGAGAGTGACCAACACGATGGCCCAGTCAGAGATGGGGCCCTTCTCCTGAGGCTTCGGGCCTGAGGGGCAGAGAGCGACGGTGGCCTAGGCAGCTGGGACATGGCCTCCCCACTCCCACTGCTCCCCAACTTCCCATCTTTCTGTTTTTGTTTTTTTAAGATTTATTTATTTATGCATACAGAACTGGGGTACAGGCCACAGGTGTAGGGGTGGTGAGAGTGGGAGCAGAACAGGCCAACCCATGAAGTACACTGCTGAGGGAAGCAGCAGGAGGGTCAGGAGAGGTCTGCCAAACCATGTGGGTCAGCTCCCTGGTTGGGGATCGAACTCATGCTGCAGTGGCTGTGGACAGCTGCATAGTGCTGCGTTTTAACCTATTGTGCCACCAGGAGGGCCTTGTCTTTCCTTTTGTGACGGTGATGTGCATGCAACTCTGAGCCTGCGTTTGCCTGTAGACTGTCGCCTGTCGTCTTGGGAGTAGAACCTCCATGGAGGGGCTTTACAGGGCTCAGTCCCAGTCTCTTCCTGACCCAGAAGACATGGCTGTCTGTCTCTAAGTTCACTGACAGCTGCTTCTCTCCATTTGTTGACCCCTCCACCATGACTCAGGCTCTGTCACCCCTTCTCTCTTGACCTGCAACGTTCCTGCCCTATGAGGCCCCCAGTGGGCCTCTCTCCAGCTGAGCCTCCGTCCTCCCCACCACTCTCCTCTCTCTGTCTCTAGGAGAAACAGAGACCATAGTTCTGTCTTTCCCTGCCAGGGCAACGTCCCTGACAGAAATTAATGGGGGTGAGGGGGTGGGAGGGGTGGGCAAGGAAGGACTGCTTCTCTGGAGGAAAGGCCTCTTGCCCTGGACGGAGGAGACCATGGGGAAGGAAGGTGGAAACCTTTCTGGGAAGCAGTCAGGTGAGAGACATCAGGCTGGTGGTATAGCCAGAAGCTTGAGGAAAACCAAGATCCCTGTAAGAACTGGGGCCGCCTCCGACATACCCAAAACACGCAGGAGCTGAGGCCTGTCCCTGCAGTCCTCCCAAAGCTGGGCTTAGAGAGGAGGGCCCCAGCTACATTTACTGGCAGATGACCCAGAGTGAATGCATTAAGAGCTCCTTACTGGTCGGGGTGCTGAGCCCAGGGCACGCCGCAGCAGCCCCAGCTGTTGCAGGAATGGAGCCCCCCAAGACAGTGCGCCTAGGGTGGAAGCCCCAGGCCCAGTTGAGGCAGCCGCAGGGACAGTAGTGCAGGAGGCAGGGCTTAGAGGGCAGCGGGGGAGGCCAGGAGAGATGCGGGCAGGGGCGGACAGACACTCAGAGCCCTCAGTCAACCCCCGCTGGTCTTGAGCAAAACAGATGACCGGATTAGATGGAAATGGAAGGATTGCAGACAGCCACCGCCACCTTCAGGAAGCGCAAAAGTGGCAGACTTACCATACCCACCTGGAGACTGGCTCCAAAGCTGCCGGCACCAAGCCCCGTGGCACCGAGTCAGAGCAGACAGGGAAAAAAGAACAGACTCCAGAAACAGGCCCACGCAGGATGGCCGCTTGGCTTTCAACAAAGGTCATCACACGATTCAGTGAGTGGGGTTTTGGGGGGGTTTGCAAAGAAATGGTCTGGGCCTCTGGTTATCTATCAGTGGGCAGTGGGGTGATCCTGACCACTACTTCCCTCCATACATGGGAATTAATCTGACAGCCAGCACTTCACAAATTTGAAAGCTAAATTAATAAAGTTTCTGAAAGGGTATGTAAGAGAAATTTCCAAGACCTTGAGGTAGGCAAAAAATGTCTTAGGCAGGCTAGGGAAAGAGCTAACCACCAGAGAAAAGCGGACAACCCAAAGGCAGAAAGTTAAACTGAACAGCCACAGAGGCCAGCGACTGCTCCAGTGAGGTTCTGGGGAGCACCACAGCCAGGCACAGGAAGCTGCCCCAGAGCCACAGGCTGAGCTGAGGGGCTCTCCAGAGAGCAGGGAGGAGCAAAGTGTCACCTGGTGACGCTGAGGCTGGTCCTGAAGTGCTGCCTGGAACCATCAGAGCTGAAGTCTGAGGGCCACTCAGCAAAGAGACCGCTGAGAGACTCGGAGATATTGTGGGGACACTTACAGAGGTGGTGAGGAGACCTCCAGAGATAGGGGGGAGACCTCCAGTGATCTCCCCAGAGATAGGAGGGAAACCTCCAGAGACAGGGGCGAGACCTCCAGAAATAGAGGGGAAACCTCCAGTGATCTCCCCAG